CCACGCAAGATGGTTGGACTCAGAGAGGCCATGGGCCTGAGACTGCATAACCTGCAGGACCATTGGAATTCAGGGGGGTCTTGGAAATGTCTCATCTACAGGGTTGCCATGAGTCGGGATCGCCTCAAGGGCAGTTAACAACCATTGGGCAGTGAACAACAAGCTTGTATTGGAGCATTGACTTGGGGTATTACAGATCTGTTGGCTTGGTCACTGCTTCCCTGTCCCAGAGACTCCAGGCATCGATAATCAAACCTATTCCTAACCTCATAGCCCAGGGGTAGGCAACCTTTCCCCTTTAAGGGCCGAGGGACTTCAGCTCCCAGAAGCCTCAGCCGTGTTGGCCAATAGTCCCATGTTGGCCAATAGCTCCTGGGATTCTGGGATCTGAAGTCCCTCGGCCCTTAAAGGGGACAGGTTGCCTACCCCTGTCATAGCCCCTACCTGAATCCGGTTTCTTGGGGTGATGCCAGAGTGTGATGGCACGTGTGGAGCTGTCTTTTAAATAGGAGGTAGGGGGGAAGTACAATGGTGAAAGATAAAATGAAGTGGTTGACCTTCACTTTTCCATAGCAAGAATGAATTAGCATTTTAAAATATTGCAGTGGGTGATTTCTGGGGATCGGGTGGAGGTGGCAATGGGAGAGTGACATTTCCTTTCTCTTTCTTTGTAAACATTTTTAGTGGTAGCCTAGCCTTTTTTAAAAAAACGAAAAAAGCTCTTAAATTGACTTAACAAACGCTGTTCCTTGGAAATTCCATCTAGTGCATTCTTACGGTAAATTGTAGTTTTATTCTGAATGCTAATCTGGAATGGAGGCCATCCTTTGTTCTCTTCTCACAACTGTTCTCTGCAGTGTTTCAAAAGTGTCTATGTATACGTATTCTGTGTTCATCGTCTACTTTTCCAAGACCAGCCCGTGCTCATCAGCTGAACCTTAGAATGTCTTTAGCCATCCTTTTGATCCACAAATGGAAATGGAGTTTGTATGAGCAGGTAAAAGGTGTCGATTGCATACTGTTTTGAATGATGTTATAGAGAGATTCTCACAATCCAGGGCTTATTTTTTTAAAGTACTGGGTTAATTAACTTGATCTGTTTTATGTTTTAAAACCTGTGTTCAAGTCTTATAATATTCCTTGGTCAAAGGGGAATAGAGATCCTCCCCTTTAAAAATAAAATACTACACTATAGACACACTAGATCAGCTGCACACAAACATATATGCCACAGTTAGACCATTTTTTGTATTTTTTGGAGTACATATGGTCCGTGCATGGGCTGTAGCAATCTAACCTCCTTTAAGGCAGTGGTGTAGTAGAGCCAAGACTCATGGGGTCACAATACTGGGACTTGGAGCAATGGCATTATTTGCCAGTCTATCCACCTACCTCTTTTTCCCTATCCCCTCTGAATTTAGCTGCCCTCCTCACAGTCATTAGGGTGGCAGTGGATTTTTCCAACCACGTTATATCGTGGGGAGCCATCCCTTCTTTAATGCATAGTATTCAGGAAAGACTTGGTCATGAATGAGCAGTTAGGACCCATTGGCTTTACAAAAAACATCTACCCCTGATGGAGATGGAAAACTGATGGAACCAGTTCAGGTTGACAGAGCTGCCCACCATTTTGGACTCTCTTTAGGGACATAGGTATGGGGGCTGCCATGATGAACACCTTCACTTGAAAACTTTACACCAGTGCTTATAGGTGGCGAAATTATATCAGCCTTCCTCAGCCTGGTGCTCTGCTTCATGGAAGGAGGTGTAGGCCAACACATCTGCAAGGGACTAGACTTGAGAAGTTGTTGGGTGCGGTTGGCAGAGTCCAGCAATAAAATCTCGCCATGCATTTGGATGTCATGAGACCACAATGGAAGTCGGGCTGAGGAACGTCCTGCATCAACAGGTATTGGCCTCTCACCTTTCCAGAAGGAGGTTGCAATGTAGTAGCAACTCTCTGCATGAAACAGAAATACGAGACTCCTCTACTGCAGCCCTGCCCATTGAGTTTAATCAGATTTAATCCAAGGCTTTTTCACACTACTACACAATTGCAGGTTGAGTCTCCTTTATCCAAAATCAGAAATATTCCAAAAAGCAAAACTTTTTTCCTGGGCAGCTTAGCTTGCTTCCTGAGGATAAAACATACAGAAACTTTGTTTCATGCACAACAGTGTTAAAAATACTGTATAAAATTATCTTCAGGCTATGTGTATAGGCGTAAATGACTGTTGTATTTAGACTTGGGTCCCATCTCTTAAGATATCTTGTTGTGCATGTATACACAAAAACAGGTGTTCCAAAATCCCAAAATACTGGTGTTCCAAAATCCCCCCAAAATTCAAAACATCTCTGATCCCAAGTATTTTGGACAAGGGAGACCCAACATGTGTAACACATTGATTCCACATCAGCTGCTATGATTTTGTCCAGAGGAGAATCTTGGGATTTGTAGTTAGAGGAGGAGCATTTAAAATTTTTGTCGAGAGAGATGCAGTGTCTCACCAAACTACAAACCCCAAGATTTCATTGGATGTCATGGCAGTTGAAGCAGAACCATACTGCTGTAATTATGTCGATGGTTCAAAATGAGTGAATGTAAGGTAGCAGCTCTTCTTTTAGTTTTGTTTGTCCTCCTGAAATGTTCAGCAAATCTTTGCAGCACATCTTGACTAATTCACATGCACTAGGATGGGATATTTTAGTCTCCCGGAGCCACGGATTGTTGCAGAAAGCACACACAACCTGACCTACAATGTAGTCATTCTATGACATTCCTCAAATGTCACAATTGCCATTTAAGATCTTTTTTTCCCTACAAGCAAAACCATGGGGGGAAGGAAACATTCCAAGATTTTTTGCCACTGGGGTACTTTTGTTGTCCTAGCCAATGTAACATAGTGGGAAGAAAAATATCCCAAGCCATTTTTTGGCAAATTCTAACACCATAAAGCAAAAGTAAAAAAAAAAAAAGTTATTAGTTTGTTCCATTAGGGAGAAACTGATCCCTCTCCCCATTGAACGGGAAATAGAAATTCACGAGCTCAAAAAATACCCCACAGTTCCCAACTGATTTTTAAAAATTCTATTCTTGGGAGCAGCTACATTACACAGTTATAGCACTTTCATCCCACTTCAGCTGCCATGGTTCTATCCTATGGAATCCTGGGATTTGTAGATTGGTCGGGAGTTTTAAATTCTCTGCCAGATAACTCAATACTGCCAGAGACATCAGTGAAGTGCTCTAGAGAGTTCTAAGGCTGCATCCACATTGCAGAAATAATCCAGTTTGACACTACTTTAACTGCCATGGCTCAGTGCCCAGAATTCCATAGCCATGGGAGTTAAAGTGGTGTCAAACTGGATTATTTCTGCAATATGGATGCAGCCTTAGTCTATTTCTAAACTACAATTCCAAGGTTTCATAGGATGGTAGCTAGAATGGGATCAAACTGCTTTAATTCTGCAGTGGGTATTTATTTTACTTTTTTCCTCACTATATCTTTTAGCTTTGCGTATTTGGCTGGAACACACCTGATTCTACACAAATAGGGCTTTACACCCCACGACACACTGGAATTTTTCTGGGGAATAAATAGGAAACACCCCACAATTCACACAATGTAAGTTGTTAAAAAAAAAACCTAGCGCATGAGAGTTAAATTTCAATAGAGGCAACAAGAGCAAGATGGATCTGTACATATGCTCCACAGTGACAAAAACAAAAAAGTGGCTAAAGACCTGCTTTCCATACTTATCTCAGCAACCTCAAATTTACCTGTTTTTCATTGCAATCCTTTAAAACAGGGTGCCCCCCTCCAAAAAAAAAAAAAACCCAAGTATGCCTATAATTTCAGCCTTGGTTCTTATCCCGCCCTGTGGATGTGTGTCTATTTTTATTGGTAGTATTATCATTATTATTTAATGCTAACCATTTTTCTTAAATTGCCTAATCATTTAATGCTTCATATACTGGGATATATCTAGGGTCTTCAGAACGACTTTAATGTTTAAGATCTCAAAATCCTGTGTCAAAACCCAGAATGAAGCAGTGGTTTCCTTTTAGAAGCTAGGCTTGTGCTAATTATGATTTTTTTTTATTGCAAAAAATGTATTTATTTTATTTGAAAACCAGCATTTAATTTAATCATTTATCATATTTGTTGTTGTTGCTGATGTTGTTTTTTAAGTGCTTTTGTTTTTAAAAAAAGAGGTTTAAAAGGGGGGAATGCAAATCTGGAATTGGAGAGACGTAGATGATTATAAAAAGGGGAAGGCGGACAATGGGAATGGCTCCCATCATTTTCAACATTTTAATAGACTGTTAAGGGAAGGGAGAGGACGATTCTTCATGGCAATTCAGTTTTGTTTATGGAACATCCCGAACCGCTGTATGCTATAAAATACATCATCTGAGTAATAAAAGTTTCAAGCTCTATGGTTTGCCATCTCTCTTGATATGTGGTATCAGTTCTGGTGGTCTAAAAGTATTTACTTATTTAGTTTGGCTTGGGATGAAGCAGAGAACAAAGAGAAACTTGAACTCCTGCATCTGGCTAAAACCACAAAGGAATGGTTGAGAGTTTTTCACTTTAAGAGCCGAAGAAACAGATTGCCTTGTGTGTTATTTGTATGTCTGATCTGACATGCAACATCTTCTTAATACTGCTTTCTCCAGGGGCTCAGCACTCATTGAAACCTAATGCAAATAACATAACACAAACACTCTATTTACAACAATCCGATTAGTTTCCAATCCACACTGAAATCTTGTAACCCAGTGGGTTTCCATGGCTGAGCAGGGATGCAAATCCCAGTCTCCAGAGTCATAGTCCAGCTCTCAAACCACTACACCAGACTGGCTTTTTGAGAAGGTGTTGTTGTCGTTGTGTGCCTCCAAGACATTTCCAATTCATGGTAACCTAAGGTGAGCCTCTCGTGGGAATTTCTGGGGCTGAGAATGTGTGACTCGCCCAAAGTAACCCATTGGGTTTCCATGGCTGAGCAGGGAATCAAACCCTGGTCTCCAGGGTCATAGTCTGATGCTCAAACCAGTATACCACACTGGTTTTCTCCTGAGAAGATTCAGCCCAGGAAATACATTGTTGTGTGATTGTGCTGAATGGATCAACTGGGCTATAGACATGAATGGTACAGAAAGCATAATGTCTTCTCTTACGAGCATCTTACGAGTCTTATGAGTATGTCCAAATAAGTTTCCAGGTGCACTTTTCTTTTGAAAACACAGCCTTTGTGCATGCAAAAAATGCAGCGTTCTTAACTGAAGGGCTTTTGTGTGGTGTTTTTCTAAAAAACACATACAAACTGGTGAGCCAACATGGCATTGGATAATATGAAAAGGAAGCACAAACATTGGCGTGATTCTGAAAAATTCGTATTCAGGGCCTGTGTCTTTGCCTCTCAGTCTCTCTGTTGTACCCTTTCTATGCAAGAAAGGAGAAACAGCCAACACTTGCAGCCTTTTGTTTCCAAAAGTCTTTGTGCTCTCCCC